AAAGCAAAAACTGAAGGAACAAAACAGCAGCACAATCACAGAACCCAAGAATGAACTAACAGTTACCAAAGGGAAAGGGACTCGGGGGGTGGAGGACTGTGACCAGGAGTCTCACCTGGCCCTGGCTGGCTAGCTCGCCACACACGTGTGGGTGATACGTTGCTATTGACTCTATATAAAGAGCCCTGCCCAGTGCTCTGGGACACAAGGTGGCATGGCTGCACAGCTGCAGGAGAGCAGAGATGAGACTGGAGTGGTGGCAGTGCTGAGGACAGAGACTGAGACAGCTGGAGGGGCAGAAAGGCCCAGAGGCAGAGTCCGGCTTGCTGCCTGCAGACTCGCTCTGAGTGGATGAGATTCTAGTGACTGACCTGCCACCGTGGGAATAAAGTTGGGTATGACCCTTTTACCCCAAGAAAGTTCCATTGTCATTCCTCGGGTCTCACTGAATCCATAGTGAGCTTGCCGGGGGCTGGAACTCACTGGCAGATCACCTGATCACCTCTCCTCCTCTTTCTACTCTCACTTTGCTGTCCCTGCTTCCTCCTTCCAGCCCCAGGGCCACCAAGGTGCCCCAAGAGCCTGTCATTTATAGGGCAAACCCACATTCACCCCACATGCAGTCTCCCTCCACCTGAAATCTTCAGGCTTAATGCTTCTCTCACCCCATCTTCCTGCCTTCCTCTTTCTTACACTTTTGTGCCCAAATTGGTTTTGGCCTAGGTCATTTTTTCTCCTTAAATAATGGTAACATATTTAATGAATACTTACATAATTATAGTATACTTGATGGTTATTCTGTTTCATGGTTGTACCATCCCTTATTTAACTGGTCCCTTACTGATGGCCATCTGGGTTGTTTCTAATAGTCTGCTCTTTCAAACATTGCTGCCGGGACTAACCCTGTAAGTACATCATTTTCTATATGTCCATGTGTGCCTATAGGAGAAACTCTTAAAGTGAAGATTCTGAGTCAAAGAGATATCTACTTCGAACTTTTTACTTAAAAAAAATTAAGTCAAGTCAGCCATCCCCTCGGTCTAATTCCCAGATATTTTCATCACCCTACAAGGAGTGATCAAGCCGACTCAAATACATGATGCTGGGTGAAAGAAGCCAGACACTGAAGGTCACATATTGTATGATTCCATTTACAGGAAATGTCCAGAACAAGTATAAATCTGTAGCTACAGTGGTTGTCAGGAGGTAAGGGAAGGGGGATGAGGAGTGACTTGCTAACAGGCATGGGGCTTTTTTGTGTGGTGACAACAATGTTCTGGAACTAGATAATGGTGATGGTTGCACAACTCTTTAAGTCTACTAATAACTACTGAATTGTACATATTTAATGGTTGGAATGATATGTGAATTTTCTCTCAAACTGAAAAAAAAGGGTAGGTATTGCTGGTATTATTTTTGTCACTGGTGCTGTCTTTATTGACCCTAAGAAAGCCACATCTAATCTCTCCAGGCTACTGGGATTTGCTCTCTCCCTTCTTATCTCCTTGTAGTCTTTCCCCTGATATGGGGACTT